GTGAAATATGAAAGTCATAGCTCCACCAAATCAAAAGTTATGGGCAAGGTTAAAGTTTTTGCAAACAAACAGACAGACACGACAAAAACTATATACCCCCGAAACTTCGTTTACGTTGGCATAAAAAAATCACTCAATGCTAGAGTAGGCGAACGTGACTATCAAATGCGCTATGGCTCTTTTGAATAACTATTAAAATTGATATACTGGATCAAATTAAAAGAAAAATACAAATCCCTTTTTTTTAGTGCAAAAGACACGATTGTGATCACTATTAACTAATACCCACGTACAAAAAAGATTTCCACAAAATGTTATAATTTTTTGAGTCTTTAATGAATGAGGTAATTGTAATCAATTATAATTATTTACAGTTTATTGTATGGTCATAAGTAACCTTGTCCGTTTTTGAATGCACAGTAAACTAAAAAACACATAGGTAATCAAAGATTACGAAGCCACCTCCACAAATGTTATCGATTTAAAGCAATATGAGCTGCAACTTTGATGTCGGAATTTTTTTGTTGCAAATTTGTAAATAACTATTTCAATGAAAGAAAAAAATAACGTTAATAAACTTCTCCTGTTTATGATGGCGATGGAAGAACTATTTATAAGCTTCTATTGATTCAAAATTATATTATTGTCGTCTTGCACAATAATGATTTCTTATATAAAACTGTATCTGGATTGCATATAGAAGATTTTTTTCTACTTTATTTTAGACTTATTAATCATAGAGGTTTAAGTTACATATAAATTTATCATAATAACACGTTTTAAAAGCAAATTGAAATTTTCAAAAATTTGGTGTATATCCCTCTAAGGATATTCAAGCAAGTTCTGTTTAACTAGCTGGTTTTATAGGTAATTGGAAATTGACATATTCCAAATACTTAACCTGGTCACTCATTTGGAAAATGTAGATCAGATTCAGCATCCGAAGCAAGTCTCGATTGGCTATTCATAGATGCATCATCCAAAGACAAGTGAAATCATAACATGTCATAAAATTGAAGAGCTACTCCAATAACACTTGTTATTCATCTGCAAATGTACATCAAATCTAGAATCTTAAGCAAGTCTTGTAGTGTCATCCCCAGATGCATCATCCATGCAAGTTTGTTCCAGGTAGGGGTTATAGTTACTTGGGACTGAACCTGCTACTAAAAAAATTTAATCTGGTCACTCCACTGAAAAATGTAGGTCAGATCCAGCAACCGAAGCAAGTCGAGTAGTATCTTTAGATGCATCATCTATGCAAGTTTGGTTCAGGTAGGGCTTATAATAACTTGGGAATAGACCTGCCTCAAAATCAAAAACTTTAACTTGGTCACTCCACTGGAAAATGTAGGTCAGATCCAGCATCCGAAGCAAGTCTAGAAGTGTTCCTTTCTAGATGCATCATCCATGCAAGTTTGGTCCGGGTAGGGCTTATAGTTACTTGGGAATGAATATGCTCCAAAACTTTAAGCTGGTCACAAAACTTTAAAATGTAGTTTAGATCCAGCATCCAGCAACCGAAGCAAGTCTGGTAGTATCCATTCCTAGATGGATTATCCAATCAATTTTGCTCCGGATAGGGCTAATAGTTACTTGGGAATGGACCTTCCCCAAAACTTTAACCTGGTCACTCTACTGGAAAATGTAGGTTAGATCCAGCATCCGGAGCAAGTCTAGAAGTGTTCCTTACTAGATGCATCATCCATTCAAGTTTGCTCCGGATAGGGTTTATAGTTACTTGTGAATAGACCTTCTCCAAAAACTTTAACCTGTTCACTCAACTGCAAGTTTGGTAGCGTACATCCCTAAATGCATCATCCATGCAAGTTTGGTCTGGGAAAGGGTTATAGTTAATTGGAAATGGACTTGTTCTAAAAACTTTAACCTGGGACGCCGACGTTAACAACGGGGTTATAACATAAGCACATCTCGACTTCGTCGACGTGAATTTTAAAATGTTATCAGTTTAGATATCTTCATTTATATGACAATTAATTAAATCTCTTGATATCATTAAAATTATTGCATACAATCCTGGGGCCCGTTTTACAAAGGAACTTTCGACTAAAACCAAAATCTTAGGATTTCTGTAAAATTTTGCAAAATTAATATTTCTCTTTGAAATTATTTTTGTAAAAATATCTTACCACATTCTTTTTAAAAAGTTAAAACTAATTTGAGATATAATGTTAGTTAAAATGTTATATAAAGAAAAAAAAAATTGGTCTTAAGTCGTAATTCTTTTTGTAAAACGGGCTCCCGTCTTATAAAGATGCGCAAACAAACATTTCCAAAAAGCCCAGTTAAATAATTGAATGGACCCAGCACGGTTCTTTTTCCCATGCAGATACTTTCGCATTTATCGGCGAGAAAGTAATATTTGATATCATTTTTTTACCATGAATTCACAATACCTTTGTAATTTTTAGCACTGAAAATGCAGAAAAAAGAATTGTATTTTAATCATATTCATTCTTTAACATTTTCAAAATCAGAGTAGCTTTAGAATTGGTAAGGGAAACATTTCTTAAAACCTGAGACCACAAGATATAGGACAATTCTTAAATTACATCATCAATGCCTTTGTATAGTTATATACTATTCAAAAAAAGTAAGCATAGTAGGAACAATATCCTGAAAAATGTTTGATAATTTTTTCATAATTTCTTATTTAGAAGGATATGATGCATTCGAGTAAAATGCATTAGGCCATTCCAAGTTTTTTTTCTATGTTTAGCGTCCGCGTGCGCCTTGGTTTTTGACCGTTTTTGACACCCCATGTAAGAAAAAACACACAACATCAGGAGTCCTGAAATTGATTAATTAAGTCGAATTTTATGAATTTTGTCAATTTATCCAAATAATTTTGTACAGTAAGCTATATTGGGTGTATTTTAAGCATTCAATCCCGTGTTTTTGCTTAAGAATAGATATTTCTTCTATTAAATCACTTAAGTTAGATCAAATCATTTGAAGGGCGTCATTTTTATGATTTTTAAGCCTGTGTTTTATGTTTTAGCTTGTGTGTTTTTTGCAAATAGGTAGGTAGGTTTTTGAAAGATGGGTGGACGCTAAACAGAGAAAAAAACTTGGAATGGCCTTATTTTTTAATGCAATTGTTAACTTTACAGCTATTCTACAAATCTCACAGACAAAAAGATCTGATTTTACAAACTTCCTTTAAATGTTTGATCTCAATTTTCATTTCTTTGTTTCTGATGCAATTTCTTCAGACACAAAAGGGCTATCAAAAGCGGGGGTTCTCGATATTTTGAATCTGGTTTTATCTGAAAATTGACGCTTTCTAAAAATGTTGCATCTGAATGTTGCATATCACAAAAAGGGAAATTGGATCTGGACGCAGGTATACCGCATTCTACAATTGCAAAAGGTTTTAATGTTATACACAGCATTATATCTATCCTATAAAACATAAACATATTAATCATTAACCTGGAACACCCAATGTTCACAAAAAAATAAGGAAGACCACATGTACATGTAACAAAAGCAGCACAACATCACTTCAGAGGATTACGTAAACTTCATGAATGTAACACAATGACGTCATCAACAGCAATTATTCATGCCATTGTTCTGACCCCACAACACCCCAAATACAACTTCAAAGATCTCCGATCAATAGAGTATGACCTCAGCATCACCGCTGATAATTTTGGTTGAGCTAATAGTCAAAAATGTTTATCGGAAAGCCTTTTATAAGTTTTTGTAAGGCTTTATAATGAACGTCAGGAAAACTGCCCTCATGACGTTAAAAAAAATTGGTTGGGGAAGTGTAATAATATGGAAAATGCTATCACATAAAAGTAAGAATAATCTGGTTCGTATTCAAAGGACTTTAATAGAAAAGGGTACTGTGGGGATCCGGGTTTGAATAGGTCCTCAGTACCCGTTTGCTTTCATAAAAGGCAAGTATATGGGGCGGTCCTTCGGATGAGACCGTATAAACCGAGGCCCCGTGTCACAGCAGGTGTGGCACGATAAAGATCCCTCCCTGCTCAAAGGCCGTAAGTGCCGAGCATAAGCCTAAATTTGCAGCCCTTCACCGGCAATGGTGACATCTCCATATTAGTGAAATATTCTGGATAGGGACGTTAAACAGTATACAATCAATCAATCAATCTGACAATACATAGCGACATACGGCTCGTTTGACACCCCCATTCTTGCAGAGCAATAACAACCTGTTTCTGTCATAGTCATCTAAAACGTCTTTAACCCCAATTGTTCAGCACTGGACAAAATGAATAGACATGTTTTATCAAAGACAATCGCATCCTCAGACTCTGCAACAGCTGTCCAAAACTTTACATTTGGAGTGGAAGAGTATTCCTGTACAGTTTAAATAACACACATTTGCTTCCATTAGATGCTGTTTTTGGCTATCATTTGTGCCTGTGAGGTGGCACACCTGATATTGATATTTAATTACCTTAAACTGTCTAAGATTTTAGAACTCTTAAGCAATTATGACTTATAGATAGTATTCATATTGTAAACCACATTTCTGCATTAGCAGTACATCATTTTACTAAATAACCTTTATATTCAATGTTTCGCTAAAATTCTACTATGAGTTTCTTTTTTGGAAGAGTATATATTCAAATCAACAATCATTTTACAGTCTAAAAGGAATTTATTCATTTTCAAAACGACCCCGAGTGCCGAGTTTAATTACCTGACACAATTCACAATCTGGAAGAAGCACCCTTGCCTATGATAACCAAAACAATTATTTTTTTTTAAAATAATATCCAGGAATAGCGGCGAAGATTTTCAAAGAATTTAATGCAAATTCGCTATATATTCAACAGGGCCCCACCTTAGCACCAGAATCCCTGACACTGGGGCCATAAAATTAATAGTTTTGGTAAAGAGCTAAATGCTTGTAACAACCATACTAACAGTTCAACATCTTGATGTCCAGGAGTTATTCAGAAGATTTTTAAAGATTGCATTAATTTCGACGATTAAGCCCCACCGTCGGGGCGAGGGGGCAGGAATAATGAATTTTCACAATTTTTGATCCTTTCACTCGCCAATGCTTTATGGTAAAATTAGTTAAAATTGGTTCAGTCCTTTCAGGGAAGAAACTGAAAATATGCCAATTTTAAAACTCGATGCATGACACGTCACACGACGGACGACGACAAACGAAGAGAGATAACAATAGATCACCTGAGTGACCTAAATTGTTGGTACCAAAGGAAAAATATTCTCATGAAAAAATTCAATTTGAAACATTCCAGTTTGTTCAAATTACATTCCGTAATAATGTTATGAGTACATGAGGTGTGATGTATCCCTTTTTCTTGATATGGTATCATCTAGATTGGAAACTCGCTTTTCTAATAATTCGATTTTGTTCTTGTCGGAGAGAAGCGCATAAAACTCGGAATCTTTGTAACTGTTGAATTGAAACTTGAAGAGTTTTTTGAAGGTTCTATCATGCAACTTTGTCAAGTTATATTCACAACTGTAATAGTAGCATCTCAATAAAAATTCTGATTTTCCTTCCCTCGAAATTTCCATATTTTTTACAAACTCTCTTCTTTCGATTTCTTTCAGAAGCCATGCTTCACACTCTTTAATGATAGCATTAACCCGGTATTCCTTTGCCAGAGGAAGAATTTCTCCAATTGTATTTCCTGAAAATACAAACAATAGTACAGAAATCCTTCTTACACTAGTTCCATAACCGATACAAGGGTTTTCTCATATTCTAGTTTCTTAAATTTTAATTTTTTTTTTTGAAGGAACAGGAGACTTTTAGAATGCCTCATCCGAATTCATCTGTGATTGGCCAAATAAGTCACAAAAGAAGGTCAAGTACACAGAAGTCATAAAACACAGTTGATAATGGAAGCCATTTACTTACCATCTAATTCTAAGTAATCAATTGGAATTATACACTTTAAAAATTTCACAAATGCGTCGTGCTTCTTTCCAGGTAGATCTATTTCAGATGCATATTTTTCTTTGAAATCCAAATTAAACATAGATTTAAACACAGGAGAAGCACAGGCAAGTATTGCTTTAATTGTATGTACCCTCTTTCCTTCAACAACAAATGCAATATCTGTCACCCCAGGATCCTCGGGGAATTTGTTTTCTTCTTGAAGTTCGTCGGTAGCCATTTTTCTATTTATCAAAGGGAGTACACGTATCAGTTTAACAATAATTAAGATACCTTATTGATAACATCAGAAATAAATTTTCGTTATCAGTCAAGGTTTTATGATTTATTTATAAACACCCTCGTATACATACATCATGAGACTCTATAGACTAAGATATTAAGCACGATTACCCGGTAAGATGGGGGGGGTGTCAAATAAATATTAAATTATTTTAATGAATGAATAAGGAATACTCAGACTCTTAATTCAATCAATGCATTTTACAGCTACTTCATGATCTTATTTCTATGCTCCCGTACTCAAAGATTCGGGGATATATTAGTGGTTAGAGCGACTGCTCTAGAGTCGCGAAGTAAGGAGTTGATCCTTATGTCACGGGTTCGAATCCCACTATGAGGCGTGGAGCCAGTCTTTCGGATGAGACCGTATAAATATAAACCCGGTCTCTAAGTCCAAAAGTGGGATTCGGGTCCATGTAAAGAAGACAAAACAAACTTTCGAAATTTCCAAAATCCTTCTTTTTAAAATCTGAATCTACCACTTTGTTCATGTAGATAGATTGGCATTTATCGAAAAGAAAATAATCTAAGACGTCATTATTAAAGGGACATGGACACAGTATCAACATATCTAAAAACAAACAAATTTTTAATGTTTACAAATTCTAATTAACCCCGTTGAAAACAATTGATGAGCAAAAATTTGAACATCATTTGTTTATTTACAAAGTCGATTCTAAACAAAACTTTAAATTCTTCAAGCTCATGTCTTGTTTTTGTTTATATAGAAAATATATTTGTAACAAAACGAGATTCGGCAAATCACTAGAAACTGTGTATTCGTATGTAGAATTAACTCCTTTATCGATAAAATCTTTTTTGAACGAATACTAGTACATAGTAGTAAATTTAACATATGTAAACAAAGACATGGCACGGGCCCTGTTTACACAACAAAGGTTTGGAGTTCTAAATCTGTCTTGTATCTCAACAACTATAATTAAATGTTTGATAACCATAAATAATATCTTAAAAAAGTATTTGTAAACATAAAAATAGAGAAATAATTTTTTTTTAGTTGAAACTGTGTAGATGTTCCTTTAACACCTTTGTAAATAAGAACTAACAATGCACACAAAAGAATTGACATCGATCATATTCTTTCTTCGACATATTTAATCACAGAGTAGAAATAAAATTGATAATAAAAACATCATTTCTTGAATCCACGAATTAAATCAACAATCATTCTGCAAACATAAAGGACTTCTTTCGTTTCAAAAACGGTTCTGACGGGCCGAGTAAAAGTTCAGATATCAAATAATTTATATAAAATAATGACAGGAGAAAAGGAAAAAAAATATTATAGACAGTAATCCAATTACAATTCAATTCATTTTATTGAACACTTATTATAATAAAAAATACCGTTAATGCTTATTTGAATACACTACATATATGAGTAAAACAAAATACGGAAATATGCTGTTCAGTTTTTCATAAATTTGCGCTTGATCAGATATTCAAGGGGAGTGAAAGGAGAGGTTATCACCAGTGCGTGTATAAACAATATATACCGGTAACCTAATGTGCCATACTCATTCTTTTTTTATTCCCCCAAAAATTCAATTCGTTGAAATATATAACTTTTATCTTTTTCTGGAAAAAAGGCTCTATAAACAAAGCTTACCGTAGAGTTCTTTCACAGGACACCTGGATCATCTTTCAAAAGATGATTAGAGTAAATTAAAAAAAAATATGACCACCAAAATATTTTTTTTAGAAAAAGTCAACTACTTGTTACATATATATTTTTCACTTGTACCATCATATTGCACATAAATGTTATTTAAAAACCCTGAAGTGGCAATAGAAAAGACCATTAGATAAAAAAGTTTAAGAATTTTTATAAGGAAAATTTCTTTTGATAAAAAAAATATTATTACACCTTAGAAGACTTTCTAAATTATATAATCGCAAGAAATTATAGTTTTTATGCTTCAAAATGGTAATAGGGGTATGAATGAGTAAATCAAAAACTTGATTGAGTTTTTCTCTTTTATATGTGACAAAAAATTGGCTGTTTGATTGTTAGTTGACTGTCAATTAATTCATGAATACTTCTAAGTATGAATAAAAGAGTTTTCGTAATTTGAATTGAATTTTAAAAAATAAGATGCGCTCCGGACCACAAAAATATAGATCTGAAGCATAAACAGACACTGTAATTGATAAATCTTTTTGTAAAAAATGTTCTGTGTCTTTATTTTTGAAGTACCGGGTATGAAAATCGGAAAATCATATATTATATGATACGAAATTATTTTTTCATGGTTTGGAGCAAAACAAATGTTTCATTCCTGACAATATGGGGTATGCTCATAAATATGACTCTCATTTTATAATAAATGTTTGTTTGTTTTTTTTGTTTTGTTTTTTTTTTTGCATCATGACGGTTATTGGTACACTCCTGACATGCTATAACATTTTTTAAAACTTCACAACATGACTATAACTTGATTGAACAAAATAAGCCTTGAAAACTATCAGGAAAGTCTTTATTTTCAATATACACCATTATTTTTTATTTCACAGACCCCCCCCTTAAAAAAAAAATAAATAAAATTTTAAAATGTTCTAAAATTTAAGGATGTTGCACTCCTGACAATTTCAGCATCATGTTCGTGTGTTAGTTTTTTTGTTAATCGAGATTTCAGTGGGATATTTGGCAGGTATTTAGCATAGGCGCTTGGGTCAAGGATACTGTATTTTTTCTATATAATGTATTGTCGAGGAAATTCGAACTATACTCTAACATTTTTTTTCAGTGTGCAGTGTTAATTTTTAGTTTTTTGTAAACCTTTCTGCTTCATATACACTAGAATGTCACGGAAATTCGATTTTATGCACGCTTTAAAAATGACATATCCCACTGTATACTAAAAAGAAACAAGGCTTGCAACTTCTTTTGCCCCTTTCCGTGCCCCAGACTCGATTTTTTACTGTTAAAAGTTATATGCGCCGCTTACCAGCTGAATTACCAATCCCCATCTCTGCAAATAATTCTTATACAATGATAAAAATCCTCAGGTATAAACTTTTCATCCATCTTATATTTTTAAATAATTATTTTCTCTCCAATGTCGGCATTTTTCTCTCGTTTAATTCTGTAATCACGGAAGTCCCCGGAATTACAACTGCCAAAACCCAAAACGAGCGGACAGAAATTTATTTGACAGTTTAAAAAATCGCAATGATCGGAGTATTTGGCGATTTAGAATGTCTAAAACATCTTACCTAATCACTGACAATAATATGATAGTATGAATCTGTATCATTAATCAAAGGAAATTAAACTTTAACATATAGACGAAAAGGGGGGTGTTTATACCTTATCTTAAACACTTGTGTTTTAGGCGAAACATTATTAGATAAATTTAAGAATAAATAAAACATTGCGCCTAGTTTATTTGTACAACAACTGCATGTTTTTCTATACTATTACTACAGGTGACTTGATCTGAAAGACGCGAAAGGTGTGTATATGCCTGCAACCAGAATATATTCACCAGTTAAATCTTATTAAACAATTTATCTGATTGCATGAAAAATATTTTTACCAAAAAAAAAAATACAAAAAAATCTAGTTTTGAATATGCAGCTCAATACAAATACCAGTTACACCAGAATTCGTTGCTTAATCGGAAATACTTTATGCCCGACGGAGGAAGGGGGGGGGGTGTGATTCAAGTTGGCATCTGTAGACATGTACATTGTCCCCAACACAATATATTTCTTTCATCGAAACAAAAGTTAATCATCATCTTCTACCCTTCACACTTTTTACACATTTGATGCCAAATAGTTGTTGTATCTTTTTGAGAGAGAGAGAGAGAGAGAGAGAGAGAGAGAGAGAGAGAGAGAGAGAGAGTTTATGCCAATTGAATATTTATTGAACGTCCCACACCTTTCTCATGAAATACAGTTTTAAGTTTAGACAGCCTTTCTTTCCTTCGTTTCTTTCTTTTCTTTGTTTTGTTTTTTTATTTCCTCATTTAATTTTTTTTTGCTCGTTAAAGTTTTCACGCAATAATTGATTTCGATTAATACACACTTTTGAACAAGTGGATCGACGAGACTCTGCCCCCCCCCCCCATTCCTTCTATATGTTAAAGTTTAATTTCCTTTGATTAATGATACAGATTCATACTATCATATTATTGTCAGTGATTAGGTAAGATGTTTTAGACATTCTAAATCGCCAAATACTCCGATCATTGCGATTTTTTAAACTGTCAAATAAATTTCTGTCCGCTCGTTTTGGGTTTTGGCAGTTGTAATTCCGGGGACTTCCGTGATTACAGAATTAAACGAGAGAAAAATGCCGACATTGGAGAGAAAATAATTATTTAAAAATATAAGATGGATGAAAAGTTTATACCTGAGGATTTTTATCATTGTATAAGAATTATTTGCAGAGATGGGGATTGGTAATTCAGCTGGTAAGCGGCGCATATAACTTTTAACAGTAAAAAATCGAGTCTGGGGCACGGAAAGGGGCAAAAGAAGTTGCAAGCCTTGTTTCTTTTTAGTATACAGTGGGATATGTCATTTTTAAAGCGTGCATAAAATCGAATTTCCGTGACATTCTAGTGTATATGAAGCAGAAAGGTTTACAAAAAACTAAAAATTAACACTGCACACTGAAAAAAAATGTTAGAGTATAGTTCGAATTTCCTCGACAATACATTATATAGAAAAAATACAGTATCCTTGACCCAAGCGCCTATGGTATTTAGACACTATCTATTGACATATACCGAAACATATAAATCTATTTTCATTTTCTATACATTTTTTTAAAGTTGATCAATATGAGTTCGGTCGGATTTTGTTTTAAATTCACCCTTAGGTTACTGCGTAAGATGTAAAATAAGCTCTTGGAACCAGGGTTTCTGTGGAAGAAAAAGGCTCTTTTCAACAGCCATTTTTCAACAGCCTCAGGTTGAAAATTTCAAAACCTTATTGCACCTAAAAAGACTCCGCCAATCAAATTTCTGGGAACCAGGGATATTTTTGTAGAAGAAATGTCATTTATTTTTTACCCCAGGGTAAAATTAAAAAATCTAAAAAGTTATTGCACAACCACAGGACACCACGTACCATATTTCAAACGATACTTTTGCTACTTTATAAAATTTAACTTCACGGAAACAGGATGTTTTTTGTGGAAAAAATTTATCGTTTGACTTGCATTTTACCCCATAGGATAACACTGAAGATTCAAAAACGATTTTGTACATCTACAGGACACATTTCAATAGATAAATTGGTTGCTTCATAAAATAAAGAGTTTAAGGAAGAAGAAATGTTTAGACAGATGGACGGAGCAGAATATTCGAATCGTTTAAATATTCCACAGCTGACACTTATTTCACACATAAAGCTCTTTTATCAGCTTGTTTAAAAGAGACATAACAATGCTTGTTCTCTTTTCAAAGGAATAAAATAAAGTGGAGATTAACTAAATAAACATACCTTTGAAATATATATCGAATAGCACAAAGTTGTAGATTTCTAATAATTTATGAAAATAAATGACGGTGCACTGGCGGATTTAAGGGGGGGGCGTGGGGGGGGGCCGCCCCCCCCCCCCCTATAATTTTCAAAGTATGATGTGACTAATATTTATCGGTACAAAACCAACCAAACCACTGTTATTCTGCCTGGTTTTACTCTTAAAATACACAAAAATCCAGGAGCTTCCGGGGGCTGCGCCCCTGGTCCCCCCATTCAAAGTATAATATAACTAGTATTAAACTCGGCGTACTTTGGTACATCACTAACCAATACTACTATTAGTAAGCACTAAGTAGGTAAATCGTTTATTATGATGGCATGTGTTACAATACAATGAGAACTGAGAAACATTCAATAAAATATTATCATTCAAACATCCGAACCTATATGCCACTTCTAACAAAAAAATTGAAAAATATGCTTTATTATAGTGCATGGTTTTACTCTAAAATACACGAAAACCCAAGAGCTTCCGGGGGCTTCGCCCCCTGGGCCACCACCAGGGCTTCGCCCTGGACCCACTGGGGGCCTTAAGGCGGCCCCCAGACCCCTTGCCTCAACAAAGTTATCCACGCCCCCCCCTAACCACAAATCCTGTATCCGCCCCTGCGGTGCCTTTCAATTCTCAGATTCATCACATATTCACAGGATATAAAGAGTGAAATTCTGAAAAGTCGCTGACACCAATAGTTAATGAGGAGGACTTCATCGAGAGCGTCTTCTGCTCATACTTTTGTTTTATTCATATTAACATAGTGCTTTAAAAATAACTTCGATCCAACAAAACTTAAATTCCTATGTTATTTTACAATATAAAAGGCATGAACAAATATATAAGCTATGTACAGAATTGTAAGAAAGCTTGGTATATCAATAATACATAAAAAAAAAAAAAAAAAAAGAGTTACCAAAAATGTGAATAACAACTTATAGAAGTTTTACCGTCGGATAAAGAATCTATTTCTACCATTCTAGCCTCCAGAAGATCTACTTTGTCTTTTTCAGCAAGATCTTTATAAAACGGTTGTACACTTTTGTATGTCGACAGTTTAAATGGCACTAGGCGTTGCAAGGTCCGTGCTCGTATTTTTGGCATTTTGTATTCACTACCGAAAAAGAATGATTTTAATAAAAATGTCACCTCATCTCTCATTGATTCTTCTCTGGCTTCTTTCACATCCATATCTTTAAGAAGCCATATTTCACATCTGCCGATGATGGAATCAACCTGATATTCCTTAGCTAATGGAAGTATCTTCTCAATTACGTCACCTGAAATGTAACAAATCAAATCAAACTTCAGAAAATTATGGAAAACCATATGGGACTCACTGGCCATGTTCTAGGTAAATATATCCATTGATATCATAACCGGCCAAGATTTTGAAGCCTGCATAGTCTAACCAGTATTAATTTTGATTTAGCCGGGATTGAAAATCGTGACTGCTCAAGTCTTGAAAGTCAAAGGAATTAATAGTGGAAAAGTGAGACTGAGATCAAAAGTGAGCTCGTTTAAGTTTTATGGCCCCCAGACCTGGTGTCAGTCCTTACTAAACAAGGATTTAACCTTGACAGACAAGGCCTGGGGGCCATAAAATGTAGACGAGCTCACGTTTGATCTCAGTCTCACTTTTACCAACGAATTCATAGTCGAAAAGTAAGCTCATGTAACTTTCATGGCCCGTAGGCCAGGATTGAAATACAAGTAAATAATTTTATTTTGTTTGTAGCTAGCCTCTCATTAGTTGATTTCCAAAAAGGAACGCAAATTATTCTGTAAAATCTTCTTTGGTATGGGACCCCCCCCCCTTGTCAACCAGCTGAATCATCTGTACCCATCAATCCTCGGGATTAATTCCTGGAAAATTCCAGATTTAATCAATGTACCTTTAACTTCAAACAGTAGCTTGATTTTACCGCAGATAAATAAACATTATGGCTGCTAGGTCTATGTATTAGTTATTACCTCCCCTCGATTCCCATCACTTTCGTTACTACAGCTGTACATATTATTGAGCGGCAAATTTGAGCTAATAAAAACATTGATTACTATTCAAATTCACAGTTGTTTAATTATTTTAAAATTAAATTATAAGGAATGACTCTAATTTTTGGCCAAATAATCGAGTATAACCTGCATGGTTTGGGTTAGTTTACGCTTTTTTATAATCCGAATTAGAGTCATTCCATAATATACAGAATATGATTATTAGGTCCCCTATGGTTTTCCATATTGTCCATCACCGGTTTTGTTGGAAATATTTGGCTAGGGTTGAAATCATAGCCGTTTGGCTATGAATTGATACTGGCCAGTAGTCCCTTTCATAAAAAAATAAGTTTTTAACTTAAGAATCTCTTACGACAAATCTTAAGTGCTTTTGTCTTTCCTGATATACTTTATTTTATCAAATAAAATATACAACATGACTATATACAAATTCTAATTGAAAAATTCAAAGAACTATATGCGGTATATTGCATATGTTTGCCCCCACAAAAGTCAAATTTTGAAAACTTCCTGAAATGTGCTGAATTCAATAAATTGTACGAGAAATATAAGTTAACAGAAAATATTATAGTTCCAGAGCAGTGTATTCACAATTTCTGTTTTTATGACGTCACAAACTAGTCCGATTTTATATCCTTTTTCAGAAAGAGGACAAAATGGACAAAATTTCAACAATTTAAGCTTTAAAATTTATAGAGCGCATGTGTGTTCAGGAACAATATTGACATATTTCATTGATATTATCATTCTACACATTATATCAAAATATTTATCCTGAACACACATGCGCTCGGTGACTTTTATTTAAAATATCGACGAAATATGTACATTTTTCTGCAAAATTCATAAAAAACTGAAATTTACGTCATATTTGTGACGTCATTACGTACATATGACGTCATTACTTATGGAATTATTCAGTGCTTTGAAGTCAGCATATACTCCCCTGTTTAAGGACTTAATTAAATATTACTCCATCAAAGTTTGATTTTGGGGGGCAAATGTTGGTTAATACCGCATATAGTTCTTTTTGTATGACACTTTTCACAAACGCAATCGCAGTAAATTGAACTTAAGATTTTACTAACAACAGACTTCTTTATTAACAACGATCTCAATATGCATTGCAATACATAAATTAGTTGATGAAAAGTAAATATAAAGCTTAGTTTTCATCATTTGTCGACAAAAGCTACCATTATTGACTACAAATAACAATTGCAATCGATTGTGAAGCAGTAAGTTTAAAATATGACGTCAGAATCACAAGTTTGACGTTAGAATAGGTCACTCAAAAATCCTAAAGTATGTCAATCGTGAAGTTTGTCATATCAATGTGCAAGGATTCTGTGAATTGTCCCTGTCCACAAACCGCAAGATGTTCACTGAGTTTTATTTTTCTGTACTCGGGTTGGTTGATATGCTGTCTGTGTATACGTATACGAGTGCGAAGGGCGGTCCCGGTTTCTCCTATGTATAATTCTCCGCATCCAGGGCATGTTATACAATAAATCAGGTTTTTTGATGCACGGGTCATATCTGCATTTACGGTAAATTTCTTCTTTCCGAGTGTAAAAGTACTTCCCTCTTTAATATATCGGCAAGTTCCACAAATTGAATCGGAGCATGTATTGACCGTGTATGAATTCCGTTGTTGAAATAAAGATTTGAACATAATTTTCCCGAGGTTTTTAGGTTGTCTTTTACTGTTGATTTATATTTTTCCAGCACTTTGGGCATTTTCTCATCAGTCTGTAGAAGGTTGTTGAGGTGACGCACTGTAGGGGTAATATTCCTGTTCTTCGGATTGTAGGTAGTTACAAGTGGTAATATTGAGGTATCTGGGTTGTCACTTTTTGAGGAGTCACATTGTTTTGAAATTGTTTTGAAATGTAAAACGTCTGAAGAAATAATGAAGAAAGCGCTAACTATACGTTTTACTAACATTGTTGCCTTGTCATTTTTTTATATATATATATATATATATATATATATATATATATATATATATATATATATATATATATATATATATATATATATGTAATAGAAAAAATTGACAAGGCAAGGCAACATTGTATATATATATACGAGGGTTGTCCAAAAAGTTCGTGGACAATGACGTTTTTGTTAAAATAAATGGTTCTATATAAATCTGTTGTATATCAAAATATATCTTATGAAAAAACAAGTCAGAGTGATTTAGTTTTTATTGATGGAACGTAATATTTTGGTAAAAATCGGGGTCTTTAGAGGTCGCGGATAGTGCGCACGGACCAAGGTTAAAATGATGTAAACTCAGATATAAAGAGTTCGGATTAAAATGATTATTTTCTATATAAAACAAGTCAAAAATTAATAAAAATTTTATGTAACACAAATTAAGAGGTTATTATCATTTTATGATATCTTAAATATCGCTTACTATATACACAACGAAAATACACAAAGAAAACCTTAGCAAGTACGTGTCAAAACTCAACAGAAAAAGTGACGTCGCCCGTCGGCACGGGGCAGCATCCGGTCAAAAAATTAAGTTTTATAACGGTTGAAACGATGTAAGAGTTAAAATATTTTGTTAAAACAACTCAAAATTATTGAAATATATTGAATGTATCGATTTGGGATTCGTATATACGATTTTTCAATAGTGTGTACAAATTCGAAGTCACTACAATAATTTAAAAACATATGTAATTAACTGTAAATGGAGATTTCTATTCATGACGTTGTTATAAATCTAGCGCAGCGTCGGAGTGGGGTGTGCAATTTGTGTATACAAACTATTTATATAGATGACGCTCGTAAATCTTTGTGCATTGTTTTAAATTTTAAAAAATTAAATAAATTATAATCTATCCTTAAAGATTATTGCTAGCACTTCGAAGTGCGTTGCGCCGTAAAAAAGAAATGTAGTGTGTGTCCATGAACATGCGTTAAGTCAAAATCCACATGTTTGACGTAATAATGAAATTAGCGTAACGTCAGACTGGTCCGTCCGCACAATCTGCGATCTTTAAGGATGGATTCTTGTCAGCATTTTACGTCGTCAATGGGTCTCCATAGATTTTGGAAGTCGTAAAATGCAAATTACATATTTAATCAATCTGAATAAATAATTATTGTTTTATTTATTAGTTTATGTATTGTTGAGTCTATTTCTATTAAAGAAATTAAGTTGTTCGTGATTTTTTCTTTGATTTGCGACAATTGCCATAAAATGCGCAGTTCCGTAGCGAATGTCAACATGTCCAGGTCGTTTCCCGTAGATAACCCCGAGAGGATTGTTTTGTAAAATATACAAGCCGTAAACATTATTGAAGCATTGTAGAAGCCCAGGAATGATTAAAACAAATTTAAGTCACCCATTTCTTTATGCCCGGGACACCCGATCAGCCAAAGGAAACGAACTGTTGAAGGTCACAAACATGCGAGATTTCAGACCCAAGTTGCCTCGATCGCCTGATGTCATTTGGGTAACTGTGCAGTGAGATTGTACATGTAAGTTAGTTATGTATGTCTGACAATTTAATTCATAATTTTGAAATTGCATTACGTGTTTTTTGCTGATAAATGGGAATTAGCAAGGATATTATAGATTGATGTATTCCCATAATTTCGTATGATGTTCCCGTGACTGTTCAACATTTGAAGATTAAAATTTATCATTTCCGTGTGTTCGTCAGTTTTATGACTAATAATTATTCACAAAAATAGCATTTTTTGTATATATATAATTACAACAAGTTACATTACTAACTAGCCTTATTTCTTAAAGACACAGCAATCATGAAGTTTTTAGAAAAGTATAAGGTGTTCCGATTGGGTACAAATCAATGTGAAAAATGAGTATATATTGTGTGGAAAAATCAATAACATTGAGACAAACAGTTGTCTAATTTATGAAGCAAAATGAAACACAATGGTCCAGAAATTATTTATATATTATTGTATTTTTTCTGTGTTTTTAGATTTAAAATGTTTTTTTTTTATAGCATAAATTTAAATTAGACATTATACACTGTTATACAACGTGGTGTATAAAATAAAATATATTTATTAAAAACTTCATTCATTTTTTTATAAATCAATAAATGAAATACAGATAAGATTGAATGTTTAATCTTATAACCAGTTTTTCTTAATTTAAAAACAATTGTCTAAGAACTGTTCATGTTTAATTCTTAGGAGCAAACAGCCCTACAGTACTTAATTTACCCAGGAGTAGACTACTTGTAGTTGAAGGTAGACTGAAGGCCAGACTTAGGCAGGATGATTGAACAAATCTGCTCGCAGATGGACTACTGAGGTACATAATTATAAGAAATATGAACACAACTGTATCTAACTATTATATAAATAGTGCATGTTTTTGAGGTCTACAATCTAAATTGACACCCCGAGGAAAACCATTGTCAACTGATACAAGGGATGTCAATTTTAAATATTACTGACTGAGTTCAAGGGCAACTTGCATTTTATCAGACCCAAGATCCAAAGTGTCTGCCTGAGACAGATACGCTAAAGGCAGACAATTAATTTGGTTCGAGGATTGTCAAAATTTATTTGCTTGAGAACACAGTCAGTAAACGTTTTGTGATACCTTTCATTTTAGTATTTATTTAGATGTATATTTATCTTGTACTGTCATGAACTTCACGTCCGTCACTGCTAAACATCAACAAATGCAAATTTGATTAAGTTCCACCAATTGTGTGATGTACATGTAAGTGGTCCAACACTTCATCGACCGGTTCGACATCTCACTCAGTGGTTTAATTCATATCAAGACAATTGTTTTATGCCCGCTCAGCAAAACATTAAAAATGTATAATATTGTATAGGAACAAATTTTAAAAGTATAACAAAAAGGATTGTTAGATGCATCTAAACTAATCAGATTTTAGTATTTAGTATTTAATCCTTTTTTTTATTATTGTAGGCAAAAAAATTGGACTCTCAGGAGGTGAACAGATGTTCAGCAAGCAATTTGCACATCAAGTGAGTGGTGAACTAAAAGATTTTCTCATTTTTCAGCAAGTTAAGATTTTTCCTCAAATTCATTAAAAATCATATCTGAGAAGCATTTAAACAAACAATATCAGATCAATATTCAAAAGAGAAATTGTTCATAATTCACCAAACTAAAATGTTATTCAAGTTATTGTTGTTTTTGATGATTTCAGATGCTGCGAATTACACTGATATCCCCCCCCCCCAAAAAAAAAAAAAGAACAGAGAGACAAATCATGAACAGCTTGAGACTTGGTGCACATAACCTTGCCACAGAAAAGGGGATTTACCTATAAACACTCCCTAATGAAAGATTTTGTAAATTATTTATTACACAGGAAAGATTCAAGATGTATTTCGTATTTATTTAGCTACAAAATTATACAATAATTATAAGTTAACTTTTGAAAGGAAGTTGATGTATTTTTTTCTTGAAAGGAAAAGTATCAAATTTGTCTCATATATCTTTGATAGTCATTGAATGTACAGAAATACTGAAAATAACACTTATTTATTAAGAAATACCATATATTTAGAAATCATTGTAATACATATTTATTGTGTATTATTGTGTAAATTATATTATTGTGGGATATATGTATAGCCTCAAAATCTAGATGCAGTGTATTGTATAAAATTGTACGAACAATTGGTGATTCTTATACTAGTATGTTGCACCCTTGACAATTATTGTAATTGTGTTGGCGCTGATAAATATTTATATACATGTCATATAGTTCATGTACAACATATATGAAGATTCTATAATATAACATAAAGTTTTGGCCTTTAACTCAGCAAAAATATACATGTATTTCGTTTGCGAACCTTTACTTTTTCTGTAAATAATGAAACCAGTATATTTTATAACAGAGGAAATTCGGATTGAATTTTTAAAAGTATTTTTGGAAACATGGCAATAATTTCAGCAATTATTTCCAAAATAATACATGATATCACATTTTTATCACATTTTAGAGAAAATGTATTATCTAACCGCCTGTCCTGTCTCTTAAATTATTAGCCTATATGATATATTGAAAGCATTTTCTTTTTCAATGATAATTTTATTAAAATGAGGAAATTGGAGCTAACCTGGCCATTTAATAAATATGAATACTCCTTTATTTTTTTGTTGTAAATGATTCATTCAACATCTATCTTTCCTATGGTTGTAAAAATATTTTTTCCTGAATATATAATTTAAGTAAAAAATCAAATGAAAAAGAATGATTGTCAAAGACTAAAATATCACTTTATAAAGAGTACAGAGGAAATTCAGAATAAATATTTTGTGTCATTTGTGATCAAAAGTTTGTTATTTTATTTACTTTAGTACATTGCTTTAACAAAAAAGTTAAGACTTAAATTGTTTTTTCAAATCTAAACATCTCCACTTTTCCAAAACATCAATTTCAAAATTTCTCAATTCTACAGGAGGAAAAATCTATTTTTAGCATCAACTTTTCAAATGACCTTCAAACAAAATCAAGGATGACGATCCCACATCTTTTTCTTGTCGTTTAATTGTGCATATTTTGAAATGTTTCCATGCATAATTGCATTAATTTCTGAATATATAAAATAGGAAAAGAATCCAGAATGTATTTTATAAAATTGTCAAATCTAACTTATTCATTGGAATAAAATGACAGAGGAAATTCGAAATAAATATTTTAAATATTATTTGTACAAACTATCATAAAATGAAATGTATAAATGGAAGAATTGAATGTATATATGTGTCACAATTACACCAAATGGCCTGTCTCGGGGGGTTAAGAATCTTTCTTATAGATTTGATCACCACTCTGTAAAATGGAATATTTCAGAAACTGTTGAGTAAATTTGGGCTAAATTTGTTCTATAATTAGCATGAATACCATATCTTTTCTCTCTTGTAAATTAATCTACAACATTTGAATACTCATCTGACAAAAATCTAAATATTTGACAATATATGATCAATTGTAAAAATTGAGATGACATTTCATGTAAATTTATAAAAACTGAGAAATTTGAAAGAAATTATCGAGGAAATTCGGATAAAATATTTTTATTAAATATTGAGGATCTCATGTTTTTTTCGCACCATGTCAATTCATGTTAGTTAGTGATCAAAAATAAGTTACAACTTTAATTTTATTGAGCAAGATATTTTTTTCTGTCAGCAAAATTTATTCCTATGCGTAAATTTCTAAATTTCTATGTGTAAAAGTACTATTTTTAGGACTGACTTTCAAACGACCTTGACCGAAAATCAAGGCTGATTACACCGGTTCGTTTGGGTGTTTAATAAGTGTACACATACTGAATATTAATTATTCAGAAAATCAAGATTCTGTGAATATAAGAAATATGAGAAGAATCCATCCTTAAAGACTCCGATTTTTACATAAATATTAAGTTTCATCAATAAAAATCAAATCATTCTGACTTATTTTTTCACGAGAAATATTTTGATATACAATAGATGCATATAGAACCATTTATCTTAACAAAAACGTCATTGTCCACGAACTTTTTGGACAACCCTCGTATGCATGTGTGTGTGTGTGATGTGTGTGTGTGTGAGGGTGTGTGTGTGTGTGTAGAAAATGACTTAGGGGTACAATGGATGTTAATAGAAAATATTCTAAGAAAATAAAGCTATGTAATTTATAACCTTCGATTTACAGCGGACAAAACTGTCTTATAATGCATAAACTGGAACAAGCCTAAAGATGATTAATAATAATTAGCAGAACTAAGTTCATGGTAATATAATTTAATGTACAATATGAAAACATTTCTACTTTCAGTTTAACATTTGTATTTTTTAAAAACGTCATTCGACATTTGTACCTTTAATATTTTATCAAACTTTGATGACAAATACAGACATAAAACACGTTCATGATCTAAAAAATGAAATACGTACCATCCAAATCCAAACATTTATTTGGGGATAGACACATCAGAAATTTTTCGAAATCTCCGTAGACTTTCCCAGGAAGTTCAATTTCCTTTTCATTTTTTTCTTTGAAATCTGAAGAAAACATTGCTCTAAAGACAGGGGATGCCATGGAGAGAACTGATTTAGCAGTGTACATTTTTCTTCCTTCTATCACAAGAGCAATGTCCGTTATTCCCGGTTCTTCAGGGAACTGATTGATTGTTTTTTCTTTGAATACTGGTACATGCATATGTTTGTCGACATTCCTCTGCCCAAACATGATTCCAGTTAAATGAACCAAATCAGAAATACCACTTAATTTGAATACCTTTTTTGCACAATGTAGTAACGGTTACTGGTATCGTCTATTTTAAAGAAATCTTTTGTTCAATTTATGTGGTTTTCCCCATTACAGCCGATATGCATTACTTACTCTCATTGAAGCAGAACATAAGCGAGCATGGATTTCGAACTTTTCCCTTTCTCTTTATTGTCTAAATACATAACAAGAAAGAACATGCACAAAGATAAGATAATCGAAGGAAAATATACAAGCCTTAATAAAAAAAAGATAAGTAGTCTAAAGAGGCAAGTGACCCCAACCTACATCAGGGTGCCATGATTTTGACAATTTAAAATCTACACAATTCCAGAATGTCTTTACCTAATTTTTTTCTTATCTAGACCGGCGTTCTTGAAAAGATTTTTAACAATATTTCCTATATGTTATAATGTAAAATTTGGATTCCTATCGTGGCCCCGCCCTATTCCGGGAACAATTTAGAATCTTCACTACCCCCAGAATGCTGCCACATAAATTTCAGCTTTTCTGGCCCGGTGATTCTTGAGGAAAATATTTCAAACAAAATAATTTTAATGTAAAACTTGGATTCCTTATTGTGGCTCTGCCGTATCCTCTTGGGTCATGATTTGAAAAATATACAATCTACATTACCCCAGGATGCTTCCATAAAAGTTTCAGCTTTTCTAGCCCAGTGGTTCTTAAGATTTTTTAATGACCCCACCCTATTTTCGTTTATTCTAGATTATCTCCACTTGTCAGGGGATTTGGCCCTTTATTTTGACAACTTAATCTCCCCTTTACCCAAGGATGCTTTGTACTAAGTTCGGTAAAATTGGTCCAATGGTACTTGAGAAGTTGAAAATGTGAAAAGTATACAGACGGACGGACAGACAGCTAGACAGACAACTGGTGATCAGAAAAGCTAACTAGAGCTTTCAGTTCAGATGAGCTAAAATACAAAATTTAAACTATTCGAGCTTTAACTTACTATAAAACATGGGTTCCATTGCTTACATGAATAAAGTACAAATCATATCAGTATTGAAAAGTTTATCCGAGTGTGTTATTTTTTAAAAATGTAAATCACTATTACCATTTTGTACCAGAAAAGTTAAAAAAAAAATGGAAAAAGCACAATGACCACAATAAAACAATACTTTATTTTCCAAGATTAAACTCAATAAAGCATCATGACATCGGTTTTCAGTAACAGTATCAAGGAGAACAATCTAAATGTAAGTGTGTTTTTGATATATTACTCATTAAGTTACAGAGAAAATTGTCTCGAGATCCCGGTAAATATATAGTGGTTATTTAAAGTGTGTAATTTGTTAGTAGTTTGAATATGTACTATTTTATTTTACCCTGCGAGTAAAACAGTCAATTTTTAGAGTTCGGTGTAAAGTTGCACCGTTTGACTTTATTACGACAGTGCATCGTAAGTAGTTGTGTCTTTTGTATGAAAGTACATGAAGCGATGGTAAATTAGCATGGCATACTTTTTATTATAATGACATAGATTACTTTATACTTAGCACTAATTAGATTATATCAGTAGCACCTAATGCCTGAACACCTAAAAACAGTTTGCTCTAATATCCTAGGTAGCAACTTTAAGGATAAATAACACAAACAAACTTTTTTTTCAGAAATCAGCATTATTTCTAATAGATTTACATTTAAATTGACGACCTGAATAATGTTTAGCAAGTAGAGTGGGAGAATTTTATAAGATTTTGTCATAAAGTTATAAAATTGTGCAAAATGTTGTATGGAATTATATAGAAGGCAAAATAAAATCTCAAATCTAAACACCAAGGAAAACCTAAGATTTCTTTATATTTCAGGGATTTATTATTTATATCAATACAAATCAAAATCAGTCAAAAAATATATATCATCCCGCACATCCATTTTTTGTTTGTGGTGAGTACTCTTAAAACGGTAGCACCTTTCATCGGGTATAAGGTGCAGCTGTGACATTTGACACGCATTCTCAAAGTATAGTCTCAATTAAATAATTAAATTAAATAATGCACCGTGTTTTAAGTAATATAATATTTCTAATAAATTTTATTTTCTGCCAGTCATATGAACCATTGTTGGTTGTTGATTAAAATACAATAATTGTTTGTTGTAACTTGAATGATTGTCTTAGGAGAAAATCGCATTTTATAGCAGAAATCTATATTTACGTTACTGTCGCCGATCATCGTGTAGTTTTTATTTTAAACCAAAAAGAAGCTTTACAAATCTTTTTCTTAGTAAAATTGTCCTACATTTGAGTTATATTTTTTGAATATCACACCCTTCACACATATGCGTGTCACAATTTTTTTTTTAAAAATTTTGATACATTTATCAAATTTTGATGTCGCCGCAAAATTAATACTTTTCCATTTGGAAATTCAAAAGGACTTGAAGGATTGCTGAACTGACTCAATAGGAATAAGTGTAACTTTTTAACATCATGAACACCTTTTTATGTGTTTTTATTAAAAATAGCCACCCTTTTCTAATAAGTCTAATGGTTAAAAAATTCATCGATATTTACGTGTTAGTATTTATTCACAAATTAAGTAATAGAGTTGCACTACGCTCGTATTTCCTATGGGTTAAATTGCCTTGCACTCAAGCACTAGAATATGCATTTGATTAACAGTGGAATAATTTAACAACAGCAATAAAAGTTACTCAGAAAGATATTTACGTTACCGATATTTACGTTACCATGTTTTAAAGTAAATTAGAATTATCACAGACTCCACACAAAAACAACAGTGAATTTAACGTTTCCTAATTATTTATTTCTTAAGTTTGGCATTTTAATGGCCACGGCTGGTTCAAATCAATTTATGAAAAATACACGTGTACAGTGGGTGCCGACCCAATTGGTTTTTGGCACACCTCCAATAAAAGCAAACAAACAAACAATCAATCAATGAATCAACAATCAATCAATCAATCAATATTAACTGTACACATGTCAAAGTTTTACAGGATAAGACTGACGTTTAGCTTCAAAGTTCCTGCAGTTGCGTCAGCCTTATGCATCAATCAATATGCATCAATCAGTGTTCAATACGATCAATTAATGTTCAAGTCAATCAATGAATGTTCAATTCGATCAATAATATTCAATTAGATCAATCAATGTTCAAACAATATTCAACAAATCAATATTCAGTTCATTCAGATCAATGTATTGTATGCTCATGTTAAGCCAATCAATATTCAAATAAATCAATCAATGTTCAATGTAAATTATATACAAGTTCCTTGTATTCCATTCCAGAATTATCCACGCAATCATGTTCGAGTTGCGCCCTGTTAACAGCGGCGCAAGTCAAGATGATATGTGTTTAGCTAAATTCGCCAAACGTGCATAGGTACTCATTAACTATGCACGCCGCCACCAATGTGGGGGTAGCTTAACACCCTACTCAAATATCCAGCCGTGACCACACCGATACATATCATAAGGAATACACGTTATTTTGGGAGTTTATAATAGTTGAGAGTCCACTTTTAAAATTTTCAAGGAACAGCTTATTACCAGGCGTAGAGAGGTGTACCCCGTCGGGGCGGTAATTGTCGGGACTATGATGGATATTTGACTGCTTAATGTACCCTCCATTGTAATGATATAGAATATGTTTTGCAATTGCGCTATTCACTCGCGCCCTACTTTTTTCGATATCGGGTCTCCCTTCACGTTTCCAGGCAATCCTTGTTATCATTTGCGACCAAATTATCTTAGTGTGCGGAAGTATCATTTGAATTTTTTTCAAATCACGTTTTATTGCAACTATTAATTCAATGGTCTTCATACGGCCAAGGTCGTTTGCTCCACAATGTAATACCAAGAAATTTGGTGGATCAATGAGGTAAGTAAATGTTTTAAAAGTTTAAAGACACCATTCCAGCGCATTCCTCTTCGACCTTGCCACAATATTTTATGCCTGTCGAAATTAAGGTCAGATGTGAAACCTAATTCGATCGCAGCTAGAAAGGCCCATGAAATTAATGATGACCCGACGATCCAAATATCTTGATGATGTTCTGCAACGAAAAAAGGGATTAGAGTGTCGAGATGTCATTCTATTTGACTGCCGGGATCCTAATATATAGGCGATAACAATCTGACTTCCACCTTCCTAACATTTTAATTGTTTCGTCATCAACGCCCTGAGAATGAAAGTATGTAGCTGCTCCAATTCTAAAGGAGTGTGATTTATAGTTGCAGCTAGATAAACTGAGACGCGCGAGGCATTTACTTAAGACGGAATTAAATTGATATCTAGTTAGCGGTTTACCGCCGAAATGACAAAATAATTGACCAGAGATACTTGGTCTTTGTTGTAAATACTTGCGCATTAGTAATAGCGGACAATAAGGACCGCTGATAGCGGGAATAATTAATTGTGTTCCTTTGCCGTACTGGTCAGTCTTTGACCTCCTAAGGTTAACTTCTATGTAGGATGAAGGCTCATTCATAACGAGATCGTTATTAAGTAATGCTGCGTTTGAATTTCTCGAGCCTACTGTAAATTCCCCGACTCGAAGAAAGCCAAAAAAGGCCATGGAAAACGCCGCAGAAAAGAGGCTCGCCTCATAACTCGATGTGCACACAACTGGTAATGTATTAATTAATTTATGGAGGAGCTGAATCGTTATTGGTAAACGTGAGTCTTTGGAGTGTCTCTCTCTCTCTCTTCATTCCTTCTACCATTTTCCGAACAATAAAATGTGAAGTATAGTCTGGTAAATCTAAGGTAGAAATCTTAATCTTATGTGATATAGCTGCTAGATATGTTTTGACAGTGCTCACAGCGTAACCTTTGACGGAAAGGAAAGCAACGAAGTTTGTCAATTCCTCAAGCGATGGAGGCCAAGAGTTACGGAGATGGAACTCGGACCTGAACTTAGAAAATAAATCGAGGCCGTTGTTGTATGCCGCTTTAGTGTTTTCTGAAGTGGCGATGTCGATTAATCTAACGGTTTCACTCCTGATATCAGTGAGTGAAATACCAGCGGAATAGGAGTTGACTTTACATCTGCTTTTGGTGCTAGTTCCTGGAATTTGGTCCACTGTCGACGAGACAAAGCATCAGCAATATTATTACATAA